AAAAACACAACACAGAAAAGCTTAATACTCAATACATTGAGTTGTTCACAATCTTCTTCTTTCATCCTAAAAGTGTTCGTTTGTACCGGAAGCATTTTTTTTTGCTTACCTAAGCAGTGAACGAGCGGGGTCTAACAGAAGGAAAGAAGAATAAATCTACAGAATCGTGGAGTGATTTTGGGATCTGGATTGATTGTCTTCTGAACATCATTCTTATTTTTCTTTTATTTTTATTATTATTATTATTATTATTATTATTATTATTATTATTATTATTATTATTATTATTATTATTATTATTATTATTATTATTATATTACCTTTTATATTATGCCAGTTAAATATAAATATAGGATCTCTAGTAGAGAAGGGAAGGCAATAAGAATAATATTGTAATAGCTTCAAGCTTCTGGTTACCATTCGTATAAATAAAATTTCATATTTCATTTTCTTGACTCTTTACTCTTATAAGTCCAATTGTACAGCATCAACCATCATTCACAATGGCCAACGTAACATGAGAAAACCAGTACACAGAAAATGAGATCCCGTAACCATTCCATCAGAGAGAAAAAGATTAAGAAATGACTATTTTGCTTTGCCAGATTTTCTACTTTTAACAGAACATGATAAGATTTGTGGAGAAAAGAAAAATGTAAGGGTCGGTGCATCAGCAATGTTTTCACAGCCCTAACTAGATAAGTTAATTAGGTCAAGTAGAATAAATATCAGATGTTCCATGTACAATCTATGGTAACTACTGGCTCAACTTTAAATCATGCAAGAGCAGCCAATCACCCAAGAGTAAGAAAGGGAAAATAGTGATACCTTTACGGATATATTTGATGGATTCCGCAATTCCAGGGTAAGACGACGGAGCTCTCCAACATAAACAGCTTCAGGCAAGTTGTTGATGACACCCTCAAGCCTGGGTAGACTCTGGATATAGAGCAAGTTGAAGAAGAATCATGACATTTAATCAATCAGATAAATCTAAACTAAGTACATCACACCTAAGATACACTCAAGGGCAGCAACAAAAGAGGTACCTTTATGACTAAGAACTGCAAGTCATCTTTCATCTTCTTTAGTTTCTTTTTACCTTTAGCAACTTTTTTCCTCATATTATCTGACTGAAAGTTATAAATTCCAATAACTGAAGCAGAGAGTTTCCACCTAACACCAGCTACTTTTAAGGTACCTTCTGTTTTGGGAGTGACTGTGAGTTGAACCTGAAAAGCATAACACGTAGCTTGTTAGAATGCTAGAAAAATATGTGTGTAAGGAATTTTTAAGACATCTTTAACTGAGAAAAATCTTTTCACACTCAATCTAAGAAAAGCAAGTAGTTATCTTCTTAGATTCCAAGCTATATAAAAGTACCACTGCCACAGAGTTTTTCAGAGAATAAGTATGTGTACTTTTCCAACATAAATAGACTACAGGAAGTCGAAGTCCAATGTTTTGTACTAATATCCAAGGGAAAGCTTGCAGCAGATTTTCCAATATTACACTTCCCAATTGCGAAAATATACTTGATATCCAGTCATAAATTAGAGAACCGAAAAACGTATGGAGCACAACATACGAGGGCACAATCAGACACCAATGGTAAAACTTGAAGTAAGTGGTATCCAATCAATCTCAAACTAGAAATTTATCATCTTGTTCTAATGTTATCAATGGCAAATGGTGGAAAATCGCAACAGGCAATTTCAAAGAGTGGTTAAGCAGAAATCCGCTATGACATACAACCATGGTGAAAATTGGTTAACACTGCCTTTATAAGTATAGAAAAGAGAAAAGATAGCCTCTACTTGAGGAAAGTAGAAACATATACAGATTCTAAAGCCTACAGTGCCTAGAAAAAACTTACTGTTGATTGTTGAACTAACATATTTTAGAAGTAATTATCCAACATACCACCTCATGTCCCAGTCACTATAATTTGGTGAGAATTACTTCTTCCTTCTGACATTGTAAGACAATATACTTATTCTTAAAAGACAGGTGAAAAACTGTTTTATGGAATATGAAGACAATTCTTTTGCCCTATATATAAGAGCTCTCTTTCTCTGAGCTGTACAGTGTTATCAAATTTCTGCCACGGAAGTATGGCGGGCGGATTTCTGGCTAACCGCCTTTCAAATTTATGAAGGATGGAGGTTATGGCGGGGCCAAAGGTCGCCACAGCGGGATTTCAGCCTGCTGCCATTGATAACACTGGAGCTTCCAACATTTGAAGGGTACAAATACGAACAGTTTCTCAATGTCAAAATACATCCTGGTTAATTATTGCAGTAACAATAAACTCACGATAAGGATGTAAAGCTCACCAACATTGTTTCACCCCCTTGTAATGAAATGTCAACTTCCGATAAAGTGAATAAAGATGTGTCTAAGCTGAAGTTTCTGCAGTTCAAAGATTAACATCTGTGAGCAATCGGTGCATAATTCAGGAAAGCGAAAGAAAAAAAAATGAAAGAAAAAAGTAAAAAAAAAAAAAAAGCCAAGAACACAAATGCACTTGCCTACAAACTAACAAACCAACAAAAGAATATTAGCTGAACTAAATAAAACAGCTTCGTCAACCTACCCGCTAACTGATGTAGTCCTCAAATTTCTGTCATGATGATCAGTCAAAGATGCATCAGCACCTACATAGTAAAACACAATGCTAATCAAACTTAATGCTGGATACTATTATCATTTCAACTAAGGAGTTACGATATAACTTAGGGATGAAGTAGAATTGTTAAATAAATAAATCAATTAAATTAAAGTAGGCAGCTGAGTATCATTATCAACTCAAACGGAATTTGAGAAACATCATTATCATGTAAACAATGAACTAAGACAAGAAAATAAGATTGTACCTGGTTCAGTTTCATCATCCTCTGCTGAATGCTTGCATATCAGAGAAACATTTGAGATAGATAGAGGAATCTGAAGAGGGTTTCTGAAACTAATCTCCACCAAGATTGGCTCTGTACAGTAATAGAAACACATTTATTGGATACGAAGGGGCGACAATATGAATGAAAACACATAATTCTTCATTCGTAAATTACAGTGTGCCAGTCAGTACAAAACAACAAAGCGGAACATACTTAGAATAACATTAATGCAGTTAAAACTATCCATGAGTTTAGACCAGACTTGATATCCAACACAACTTATATTCTATTTGAAACGGTGGACACATGGCCGCTTGTACAAAGCTGATAGGCAAATAGGTAAAGGCATTGTCCACAGTGTGGTAGATCTCAATAGAACCATGCCACATGCACAAAAAGCAATGTTCCATCTCTTCTCGACATTACCATACCCCTAAGTGCAAAAATAAATTCCCAAAATTTATTCACAAGAATCAGATAGCATTTCGCTTCAAAAGTTCTCATCCAGACATGATCTTAACATTGTCATCATACTTGAAATATAGAAATAAAAATTAAACAAACCAAGTATTCTAACCATAGAAATTGACATGAAACAAGTCTGTAATTCGTACCCATCTAATCTAAGCTGACAAAGTTATCGTATTAAACCAAGCAGTTTTAATTTTATCACAGAAAAGCTATAGCAAAAATGTTCGTATAAAAGTGGGAAAGACGACAAATGTTAGGAGTAAGCTATGATTGCATTTGGAAGCTGCAAATTAAAATTCGCCAAAAATATCTATTAGACGATGAACCCAAATAGCCATGTCAACCAATCCGAGAAAATTACACTTCTGGTCCAATAGGATTGAAGCCCAAATGCTTTTGGCGGCAATGTTAATAAGTTGAGAAAAAAAAAAACATTCCAGAGGAATCAATCCTTGCACTTTAAAGCCCATATGCACACAGGAAATTGATTTTTAAGCAACTTAAAGTGCGAAATATTCAGGAACAAAGTTAAAAAAAAAAAA